AGCTCAGCATCCTGGCCACTTGACTCAGTGACAGAGGCCCCCACTGCTGCCAGGGCACCCAGAGATCCTGAGCAGGTCACCCAGAGAGCAGGCAACAAGGCAGGAAGACCCCACACAGTTGGTGGTCTCTGGGACAGATGTTGACTTACAATTGACAAAATGAAAATTCTGGAAACTAAAACAGTATTGTAGGTGTGGTAGGAAGAGCCCTGGACTGGGAGTCAGGAAGGCCAAGTTTTAGTTTCCGCTAATGGAAAATGGTAGGGAGTGGTGAGGAGGAGGGGTGTTGGGGGACAATAGCAAATGGCCCCTCCTGGCAGTAAGAGGTTTCATAATTACACACATCACATACTCTGGGCTTTTTGCTGAAAACTCAGAAGCAGCTGCTATGGGAACAGGTGCCCCAGCAGAAGAACACTGGCACGTAAAAGGCAGAGAATTCCAGGAGACTGAACGAAGGACAAGTATGGTTCCCCTCTTGGGCACCCCAGTCCTGCTGGGAGGCAGGCAAGCCTATGCCGTGACCTTCTCAAGCCGCTACAGGCCTCATCCCCATCACCACCCCAAACCCCTCCTTTTCATTGTCACATTTGATCCTCAAGAGCGCCCCATGGAGGGTGCAAGACAGAGGCAGTCCTTCCGTGTCACAGACAAGGAAACACTCAGGGTGTGAGAGGGGCTTCCTATTTAGTTGAAAACATACAATTCAGATCTTCTGAATGCAGGCTCTGGGTGCACTGCCCTCTGCCACACTCTGCCTCTGCTGGGGGCACAAATAGGGCAGATCTCCTGGCTCAGTGACCACAGAGCAGGACACCCTGGGCCCTCCGCCGGTGCTCCTCTCATACACAATCTCAGTAAGTCTTCATTACCACCTAGTAAGAAGTTATTTTTAATCCCTTTTAGATAAAAAGAAACTGAGGTTCAAAGTGCAACAGACATACCCAAGGATATACATCCAGGAACTGGTCAGAAGTCACCAGAGGCCGGTCTGCTACAGCACATGCCGCTGTGTGTCTGTGTCTCCACTTCGACAGACGCTGAAGCTCCTTCATGCCTGGGTCTGGCCCAAGCAGGCTCTAGGTCAATGTTGGCTCATGGAATTAGTATTCCAAAACCTAAAGCATTAAAAGTAACACAGAAGGTTACTTCATCCAGATAGAAATTACAATACAGGGCATCCCTGGTGGCACAAGGGGTTAAGTACAGCACTGTTAACCACAGCCACTGCAGCATGAGTTCTATCCCTGGCCGGTCAGGGAGCTACCCACGTGCCATGGCAGACCTCTTCTGTCTCGCCCACTGCTCCCCTCAGCAATGTATTTCAATCAGTCTGGCTATTCTGCTGCCCACTCTGTCTCTGGGTCCTCTCACCCCTGAACCTCTGGCCTATTCCCCAGTTCTTATATGCGTAAACAAATAAATCTTAAAAAAAAAAAAGAAATTACAATACAACCAGAACATATATTAATCATGAAACTTTATTCTAAGAATCCACCCACCCATTCAGTCATTCATTCACACATTTATTGAGCACCTACTATGTGATTAGTGTGCTAGAAACAAGAAAAACAAACGCATAAGACAAGACCTTCATGGTATGTAACATAGCTTCAAAATATATAAAGCAAAGCTAATTTGAAAAAAAAAGAGAGAAAATTAGTGAAGCCACAATCAAAGTAGATTCTATATATCTCTATCAAAATGGACAGAGTAAGTAAACCAGCAGTTCTCAAACTTTTTGGTCTCAGGACCCCTTCACACTCTTCTTATTGAGGTTCTTAGATTAAGGGATTTTTATTTATGTGGGTTTATACCTATCAATGTTTACCATGCATACAATTAAAACTGAGGAAAATTGAAATTTATTTACTTAAAATATCGTATGTTAAGATAAATAATAAATGCTTATGAAACAAATGTATTTTCCAAAATAAAAAAACTGTTGAGAAGAATGGCATTGTTTCACATTTTTGCAGATATCTTTCATGTCTGAGTTTAATAGAAGACAGTCTTCTACCTGCTTCTGCATTCCATCTGTCGTCACATGTTGTTTTGGTCAAAGGAGATGAAGAGAAGTTGGCTTCACCCAGAAATTAGTTGGAAAGGAGATTATTTTAATATCCTATTCAGATGTTGTGGCTATTCTTCTTTGATCTACCAAAATTTGACATGTTGCAGTTCCTCAAATGTTGTTTGTAATGTGAAATCTAAAACCATACGGATAAAATTTTCTTACTCTATTGCTTAAATTCCATCAGTCTATCTTACGCTTCGAGTGAGTCTTCACGTTATATACAATTTTGACTCTGGAGACATCCCAGGCAGCTAGGGACACCCAGAGATGCCCAGACACACCTGGAGAGCCACTGACGTAGGCTAGAAGGTAGAAAGATGTAAGATCTGATAACATGATAAACAAATTTGATCTAAGATCTACGTAGAACTTTGCTCAAAACAAATCAGGAGTACACATTCTTTTGAACAAATGAGCCTCTCGACCAGCTTGGGGAAATTTGCACCTGAACAGACTGCAGACACTCCAAGATGGACAGATGCCCAGCGCGCCAGGTGTTCCGCCCAGCTGCCTGGGCCCTGCAATAGCCTCATCAAGGAGGGGCAGCACGTAAGAGAGCAGCCTCCTCCCTGCGGGGGGCCACAGAGCCAGGGTAACCAGCTGGCTGCAGAGGGAGAGCGCTTCCCCAGGGCACAGCTCCCCACCCCTGGGGGCCGCTTCACTCTCATCAGAGATCCCATGTCCGGGAGTCTCAGGGATCCCCAAGGCAAAGTTGCCAGGTAAAGACAGCCCATCCTCCTCTTCCAGGAGGCTTCCAGACTAGCCTATCTGCCCTTTGGAGCCCCTGGAGCTCCAGGTACAGACTCCCAGCAGCGCTCAGACATGCGCAGTTCTTACATAACCAGCTGCAGGAACAATGCCCCTCTCTGTCCAGGCCGGGCACCAGGAAGCCAAGAACAGCACAGGCGACCAGCTGCCCAAGAGCCAGCACCTTGCACAAGCATCTGGGGCACTCCAATACCCCTTGCCAGTGCCCAGAGCCTTCCCCAGATTGCAGAAACCCTGCCTGGAGGAGTTGGAGGTGCAGGGAGCAGAACTGATGCTCAGAGCCCCCAAACCACAACAAAGGTCAAGGTGTAGAGCGAGCTTTCAGAACACACACCACATTTTTGCCCTAAAGTCACACATCCTTGGAGATCAAACCTTCCTAGATGCCTATTATATGCTGGCACCATGCAGGGGCTTTCTTTCTAAGCATCATTTTATTTTTCCCTTTGCAACAATTGCTGAAGAAGCTCCATTTTACAAGCAAGGACATGGAGGGTCAGAATGATCAAGCACTTGCCCAAGGTCACTCATTTAGTATGCGCTTGGATTTGAACCTAGTGTTCTCTGTCTGCAGAGTCCAGGCTCTTGCACTGTCACTACACTCCCAGCCCGGCCCTGCGGGGAGCAGGTCTTCACCTTCTCGGTGATGATCAGCAAAACCTCTTTGCTGAGTGTTGTAGGAGTAGGGAAGGTCCTCAGCTTGCTCTACCCAGACCAGCTAGGACACTCTGGACATTAATGATATCCTGTACCACCCCTAGCGCTCTGTCTTGTGCCTTTTTCTCACAACTAGATCAGATGACGCATACACCCCATCTGTGGTCTGCACACCACACCTCGGGCACTGCACATAATAGGTGCTCCAGGTGCATCTGTTGGTTACTGGGGGACTGGTTCCTCACCTCTTTCCACTACCGCTTCAAGGACAGATCCACGGGAAGACTGGAGCCTTGGAAACAAACAAAAGAGGAGCAGTGAGGCAGCAAGGGAGGGGTGCCAGTGCCCCACTACTGTGCCTTGCAGCAGAGCCAGCACCCCAAGCTCTCCTATTAGATACTTCCAGCTGCTGGGAGGTCAGGTCTCCTGCCAGGCTGCCAGGAAGAGCCTGGCCACAGTCTCTCTTTCAAAGCTCCTCCTACAGGCAAGTTTAGGGGTAAGCAGCACCCAGTCAGGAAGACAAGCCCCTAACAGTTGCATGACCAAGATCAGTTACTTCATTTCTCTGAGTCCCCCCAGCCAGAGAGCCTGCAGACTTGACCCCAGACCCCCTGTTTGTATCTGGACTCTGACTTTGTTACCAGACTTTAGGTTCAAGGCCTGGCACCGATCTTCACCTCTCTTTGCCTCAGTACCCTTATCTATAAAGTGGGGGTGACAATAGTACCTGCCCACTTTACGGCATTATTGGCAGAGTTCAATGAGATCATGTCTGTGCTGTGCTTACAACAGCCGTAGTGGGCAGGAAGCGGCCAGGGACGACTAGCTAGCAGAGGTCAGAAGCAGTAGTTGATGAGGTTGTAAAGGGCTGTCCAGTGTCTCCCACCTTAGTAAGACCTCACTCATAGTGGCTATAATTACCGTCACCCCCACTAGTCTGCGATGGCCCTGCAGGTGGGTTCCACCCTGTCATATCCATCTGATTCCCCCGCAGCCAGCACCGTGCCAGGCACCAAGCAGGAGCCAGTGAATGCTCAAGGGCTGAGCAGTGAAGATGTGCCCAGCCTGCCTGCACCAGGAGAGTGTGGGCAGCCAGGAGCCTCTTGCCAGAAGGGAGAACCAAGGTGTCAGGAAGAGAAAACAGAGCGGAGGGGGGAAGGCCGAGACGCAGAGATAAGCAAGTGAAGTGAGTGAGAAAAGGACCAGGAGAGGCAGTGGCGGAGAGAGATAGGAAAGATGGAGAAGGCGAGAGGTGAGGAAAACACCCAGGGAGGTGGGGGGACCAGCGGTGAGAAGCCAGGAGGGACGGGACGGTGGCAGCCGAGGAGCGAGCTGGAGAGGGGCGCACGGGCCGGCACTGGGCGGGACGCTTAGGAGTCGGGCGGGAGGGGCTGTGGGGGCTCCACCCTGCCTCCCCGCCTTGGGGCGGCGGCCCGGAGGCCCGAGATTGGCTGGGGCGCCAGGCGAGGCCGGGACTGGAGCCCCAAGGTGGGAGGCGCCAGGATCATTCCGTGCGCCCGGGAGCGGAGCGGAGGCTGCCACCCACTTGGGCGACCTCGGAGGCGGCGGCTGGAGCGGAGCGTCTCGCCGCAGCGCACGCCTGGGCACCTGGGGGCGCCGCGCACCGAGCGTCGGGGCCCGCGCAACGATGCAGGCGGCGGCTGGGGGCGCGCGGGCGGCCGCGCTGGCGCTGCTGCTGGGGGCGCTGCACGCGGCGCCCGCGCGCGGCGAGGAATACGATTACTACGGCTGGCAGGCCGAGCCGCTGCACGGCCGCTCGTACTCCAAGCCGCCGCAGTGCCTCGACATCCCCGCCGACCTGCCGCTCTGCCACACCGTGGGCTACAAGCGCATGCGGCTGCCCAACCTGCTGGAGCACGAGAGCCTGGCCGAGGTGAAGCAGCAGGCGAGCAGCTGGCTGCCGCTGCTGGCCAAGCGCTGCCACTCGGACACCCAGGTCTTCCTCTGCTCGCTCTTCGCGCCCGTCTGCCTCGACCGGCCCATCTACCCGTGCCGCTCGCTGTGCGAGGCCGTGCGGGCCGGCTGCGCGCCTCTCATGGAGGCCTACGGCTTCCCCTGGCCGGAGATGCTGCACTGCCACAAGTTCCCCCTGGACAACGACCTCTGCATCGCCGTGCAGTTCGGGCACCTGCCAGCCACCGCGCCTCCAGGTAGCGCCGCCGCCCCCGAGCTCCGTCAGCCCTGGGTGCAGGCGAGTTGGGCCCCAGACAGAGGCTGCTGACGAAACCCCTTAGCTCTGCGAGCCCCCCAGAAACCCCCTTACGCAGAGAGATAGACACGCACCCCATCTGCTCTCAAATCTGAGCGCCCCGACAATTGACACCCCCCTCCCCAACCTTCCTGCCTTCCCACCTCCCCACAACTGTCAGCTGGTGCCTCCCTGGAACATTCCAACTGGTTCTCCCTCATTCCAACTCCTTTCCTGAACCACCCCATCCTCCCTGTCCACCTCTCAGCTCCCACCTTCCCGTGCCACTGGTATCCCTGGGGGTTCCCCCATCCCCAGGCATCCCAGGTTCTCTTAGGCCAAGAATGCCCCAGGTCATTAAACAATGCCCTTCACCCCCTCCACAGCCCTGGACCCCAGGGCACCAAGCCAAGCATCACCTCTACCCCAGGCTGCAACATTTGGAGGTGAGGAGGCTGGAGGGGAGGGGTTTAGCAGAAGAGTGGAGCTGTGCTCTGAGTGCTCCTGGGCAATGGTTTCCACCCCCCACCCCACCCCTTTTTCTGCACCCTGAATCTTCCAGCTCTTCCCCCAACTTCCCAGACAGGGAGACCTTCGGGTGAGACTCAGCACAGAAGAATGAGCAGATTGCAGGCTCTGCCCCTAACAAGGATCCTTTAGGTGGCTGGCGTGATTTTTTTCAGCCTGGGTTTCCAATCTGTGACAGGGAAGTGCAGCTTCCCACCCCCAATTCCATCACCCTTAATTCCTCCCTCCCTGATCTCAGCCTCCCCTTCCCTGTGCAACCCTCCCCGACTCCACCCTCCTCAGTGGATAGAAACCCTTCCAGGCAGTGGAAGGCCGGGCTGGGCACCAGACAGGAGGAAATGCAGTGGCACCAGGCAGGAAAGCGTTGCCTGAGAAGGAGCCCCTCATGCTGGGACTCCCTGCAAACAGGAGCTCCCCTCCCTCGTCTCCCTGTCTTCCCCAACCACCAAAAAGCACCCTCAGGGCTACCCTTTCCTGCAGTCTCACACACACTCACACACACATACACCCCATGGCCTCCTTTAAAAGCTGTGGTTGTGTGGGGGTCATGTGATGGGGAAGTGTCAAGAGAGAGAAAGCCCCTATCCTCAGATTGGAAATGGAACCCAAAAGCAAGGGACAGAAAACCAGCTCAAGCAGAGACAGTTCCCAGCAGGGGTCCAGCACCACACCTTTGCTGGCTTACTTGGAACCCAAACATTAGCAGCCTGATAGGGAAATCCCAGGTCTGAACCCCACCTAGCCCTGCCCTGGCACTACTCTCCTCTGCCAGTCTATCTTTTCCCTCTGATGTGCACACCTGGAAGCAGAGACAGAGGGGCGCAAAGGTGATGTGAAGAAGTGTTTCGGTGACCAACAGATAAGAGTCAGAATATTTCATATAAAAATTATGAGTTTTGGCTTCTCTTTAAAAGTGGAAAGTTCTGAAAATGTTAAGCTGCCCACTTTAGAGGAAGGTACTCCTCAGTTTACCCTGCCCTGCCCTGCCAGCATCATCACTGGTTTACCCCCCTGCCTGATCCTGCATTCCTAGAAAGTCCCCTCAAGTATCGGCACAGCAGCACTAGCCCAGGAGTCACAAATCCCGAGTTCTAAACCCTTTCTCACTAGCTTTGCAAATGTGGGTAGTCACGCTGGGCCTCAGTTTCCTTTTCTTTAAAATAAGAACAATAACCCCTACTTCATAGGCTGAGGGATAAATGAGCAAATTGAGAAGCCCGTGCACATGGAGGCTACAACTTTGCCAGAGCTGTGGGGCAGGGGTGCCCACCTGGGCATTTCCTCCTGGGAGACCCTGTCTCACAACCGCTCCGTGAGCAGGTGATGTTGTTGTTACCATCACCCAGGCCCCAGGAGGAAGTGGAGGCTTGGCTGGGGAAGCTGGCTGGACAGAGGGAAGCCTGCACCCTCCGCAGTGCTGCGGACTCTGACCCACACACGGGACCCTGACCCCACCGCCTTCTCTCCTCAGTGACCAAGATCTGCGCCCAGTGTGAGATGGAGCACAGCGCCGATGGCCTCATGGAGCAGATGTGCTCCAGCGACTTTGGTGAGTGTGGAGCCCACGCGGTAGCCACGGCTCCTGTGCCAGCCCCGCCCCAGCACACACACACACACACACACACACACACACACATACATGCATGCACACAAATGCCCACATCCAGCACAGTCAGGCTGCACAGTGTTGGCATCATGTGCCCCTTTTAGAATCTAATGATAACCATGCACCCTCTCCCCAGAGAAATGTACCTCAAGGCCATGGTCCATGGCCTCAGAAATCACCCGTGGCCAGAGCCCCTGCAGCCCGCCCTTGCTGCCTCACAGAGCGGCTCCACGACGGGACTGTCTCCTGGGGAGAGGTGGGCTTAACCTGGAGGCAGGCAGGACAGCACAAGGAGCAGTGGGCTCCAGAGTGGAAATGTACCCCCCAAGTCCCTAGGAACCTCTGCCCAGTCCCCAATGCATCTCTGGCTATGCAGGCTGTGGTCACCCCCACAGCTGTAACCTGGCGCCTCCACATTCCTGGGCCAGCCGAGCCAAGTCTACTCGGGACCTGGCTCCTGCGTGGACCACACAGCCCAGCCTTGATCTTTGCCAGCTCAGCTCCTGTTTGATGTCTTGGGCTTCCCATCCCTAGAAAAGAGATAGCAATGAAATTCCTACTTCACCAGGTCTTTTATGTCAATGGTCCTTTTGGAAGGAGAATCGTACTCGCAGTCCGGCATTGCAGGACGGCATTCCCGCCCGCGGCCGCATGTGGGGTGGGCCTGTGGTTCCCCCACCAGCCCCGTGCGCAGCCGCTGTGCCGCCTGGGTCTGTGTGAGGACACGCTAGGTCTGACTCTTGCCAAGATGAAACAGCCTAACGACCCCCCCTCAGAATATACCCCCGTCTTTAAGTGGCACGGCACTGTATTCAAGGTATGTGTGCGTGCCAGGGGCTTGGGGGGGACAAAGGAAAGAGAGAAAATGAAAGAGATTTTGTGACAAATTTCTTTCGTGAGTGGACAAAGTTATTCTGTGGCTCTTCCCTGGCGGCTCACAGAGATGGGCCCCAGAGGCCTGCAGAGAGGAGAGGCCAGCCCAGGCCTCCCTGTGCCCAGCGATGTCAGGTTCTCTGCCACAGGCCCCCACCCCCGCCTCACTCCGGCTCCCACCCACACACACCACAAAGAGTCTCATGTACAAAACACACAGCGCGACACACACTCTCCCACCCACCCTGCACAGCCTCGCACGCACATCGTGGTCGTGTGTTTGCACACACAAGAGCTGGTCGTGTGCAGCTCTTCCCAAGCCTGTGTCTGTGAAATGCTGGGTCCTGCTAGGGGGTGTACCCCGTGGAGACCAGCATGCGCTGCAGAGCAGGCCCCTCCCCAGAGCCAGCTGTCAAATATTTACCAGCACACCACGGTGCCAACCACACTCGTGCTCCACACACAACCAGAAACCCCACTGGGAAGCACCCCAAGGGGATGAAGCCCAGCCTCCCTCCATCACAAGGACTTCCCTCCACCAAATCCCCCTCTAAGTGGACAGTCTCACCCCCGACATTCCCGCGAACACACCACTCCACTCCTCCCAAGTGCTCCCCACCCTGCACTTGGTATCACGAAAAGGCCTGAGCTCTGGAGCTGGCCGGGCCTCAGGTCAAATCCAGGCTGGACAATTTGGGCGGATTACAATGTCTCCAAATCTCATTTCCCCCCTTGTGCCTGGCCATGAAGCCCCGCCAACAACAGGAGATGCTATCCTATAAATATGAAACATCCACGTCAGCTCCACCTGCCCAAGCCCCGGGCTTGGAGCTTCAGGCACGGACACGGCAGGTCGCCAGCCTCCTGAGCAAACCTGACTATTCTCACACTGCCCCTCTGTCCCCCCACCCACACAGTGGTCAAAATGCGCATCAAGGAGATCAAGACAGAGAATGGGGACAGAAAGCTGATTGGAGCCCAGAAAAAGAAGAAGCTGCTCAAGCCAGGCCCCCTGAAGCGCAAGGACACCAAGAGGCTGGTGCTGCACATGAAGAGCGGCGCAGCCTGCCCCTGCCCGCAGCTGGACAACCTGGCGGGCAGCTTCCTGGTCATGGGCCGCAAAGTGGACGGACAGCTGCTGCTCATGGCTGTCTACCGCTGGGACAAGAAGAATAAGGAGATGAAGTTTGCCGTCAAGTTCATGTTCTCCTACCCCTGCTCCCTCTACTACCCCTTCTTCTATGGGGCTGCTGAGCCCCACTGAAGGGCGCTGCTCCCTCCCCACCTCGCCTGCAGTGCCTTGCCCTCGGTCCCAGCCCCTGGGGCTCTGTCTCCTCCCACTCACAAGGCCTTGCCCCCACTCCCAGGCTGCCCCAGCCCCTGCTGGAGGGTGGTTTCTGGCAGAGTTGTCACCAGCACAGGCCCTAAGGGACTGAGGGGTTCTGGCATCCCTGGGGACTTTCTCTCATGTGAGGGGAACCCTGAGTCTCAGAAAGTAGGCAGGAGGAGGAGAGAGCAAGGGAAGGGAGGGCTCTGAGCAGCTGAGGTGGTGTCTAGAGTAGACTGTGGGGTCAGCTCCCCTGTTGGTGGGGGGGACCCCGGCTTAAAGAGAAGTCTCAGAGTGCATCCCAACCACCAAAGCAAAGGCGCTGGGGTCTCAGTGCCCTCCAGTCCCACTTCCCTGCCTTCCCCCCAGACTGAGGGAGCCCAGCCCAGACCTCTGCCTCTGCTCGCTCGCTCCTTGGGGCTCACCCTCAGCCGCCGCCTGCCCCTTCACCTGATGATGAGTAAATTATTGCTACTGCTGCGAGGCCATAGGTACTAGATGACTGATGCAGGTAGGGTTTGTTTTTTAAGTTTTTTAAGTTTTTAATTAAATTGAAGAAAACAACAGTTGGTTTGGACCAGGTGATTTCTGTGTTGCTGGTTCCTGAGCAGCGGGACGGAGTTTCAGAAGGGAACCTTAGGAAGAGGCTGGTCCACAGATTTCGAACACCTCAGACCAATGCCTGTGTGTTGTAGGATCCCCACAGCGCGCACAGCCAGGGGTTACCTTCCCGCCCTGGCCCCGTGAAGTGAGGGAGGGAGATGGCTGTCCTTTTGGCCAGAGGAGGAACAGACGCAGTCTCCCAGTCTGAACTGCGGGCTCCTGCAGCTTCAACAACGGCAATGCCTGACCCCAGGACTCCTACAAGTCTGGGCCCCAGGAATCACTCTGGAGAGCAGGCCTACCCGCATAACTCCTCCCCACCCCCCCCACCCCCTCGCCCCTACACCCAAACAACTCTGGGCATGTCCTGGCCCGAGGTGATGGTTAGAGTGTTACTTTCAGCAGACCCTGAATCAGGACATGAGCATTGCCTGGGAGCTGGTTGGAACTGCAATTCAGATTCCCCAACCCCAGACCATTACAACCTGCATTTTAATACATAAATATCTGAATCATCTCGGGAGCTCTTACAGAATACGGGGCCCAGTCTCATACAATTCCATAAGCGTCTCACTGCTCAGAAATGTGCATTTCTAGATGCTCCTGGGGTGATGTGCAGGCAAGCTTGAGAACCAAGATCTAGATAAGCCAACAACTTATCTGAGGCAGGAGGGAATGGACTGAGGTCACCCTGGGCTAGAAGGGGCTTGGTCCTGCATGCGGTGTACCTGAGGGGGCTTCTTTAGTGGGCTCAGGGCAGATGAGGCTGTCATCTTGAGCTGGATGGGCAGGGAGAGCAAGTTTGACATGGAGGCAACACCATGGCCACTTTAATGTCCAGCATTTGGAAGGGTTGGTGCCAGGAAAGAGCTCCTAGCAAGCATCCATAGGCAGATGTTGAGAGACAGGGCAGACACACCCAGAGCAGGGGGCTGGGCACACCCCCAGAGGGGCTTTCCTCACCAGTGAGGGTGTAGCAGCTGGGATACCAAGTGCAGTCACAGCTTCCCAACTCTCAGAGGTGCACGCCACCCAGAGAATGGAGGAAGGCCCGAGGCCCAATTCCCACTGTGGGCCAGTGTGCACTAACAGGTGGTCTGACATCCTGCCCATCAATCACCCTTGGGCCGTCAGGTGGCCTCACCACAGGTCAGGAACAGCAGAGGCCTGCTTGTTTCTCCTCAGCTCAAAAGCAGCCAGTGCCACCCGCCCTCACCTAAACCCTGCCCAGCCCACCTGGCTCTCTGAATCTACCCTTTGTCTCTCAGTCTCCTACCCCGACCAAATATTTACGGACACTTCTATGGTCAACCAGAAGCAAGGATTATTTTTCCACTGAACACATAGGACTCGGGCCACTTCTGGCCAGAGCATAATACCGACTTCTGTCAGGTGCTGGCAGCCAGCGAGAGGGAGCAGGGCGAGCAGAGGCTCCCTTAGCCTATCCCAGGAAGCCCCAGTAAGGCACCCTCACCCACCTCCCCCTCCAGGGGTCAGGCCTTTCTCTGTCCATTGACTCTGTTCCCAACATCTGCTGTCAGACCCCCCCAGCAATCTCCAAAGACCACCTAGGCCTGCAAGGCCTGGGTCCACCCTTGGTCTCCTTCAGTCCTCCTGCCTACCTGAAGACAGGCAGCTGGTGCCCACAGCCTCTGGGCTGAGGGTGGATGCCCGATTGTCTCTGACTGAATGGAACGGAAACCCCTAGTAACCACGGGCTTTGCCCTCTTCAAAGAGGTCCAGAGGAGGGTGGGAGGTCTGTGTTCCAGACTCTTCCATTTTCCCGAGGGGTGGAGGGGGGTGGCTCTTGTTCTCATGCTTTCAACTTCTCAACCACATTCCAGGCAGCAAAGGGGAAAAAGGCTAAAAGCAAATGCAGCAGGTCAGCGGCCTCTGGCCTTTTGATCAGGAAAAGAATCATCCCCAACAAGTCCCCCCGGGTACTAGAAGATTTCTGCTTCGAGTTCAGTGGCCAGAACTAGGTCACATGGCCACCCGTTGGTGCAAAGGAGCAGTAAGTCACGTGAGCCAGCCAGGTATGATATCAGTCCTCATGGCAAACAGGAAGACTTGGGGTCGCGGCTAAACACTCAGGCTCAGAGAGAAGAGGCAGTGGAGCCCAGTTTCTGGGTTCGGATCCTGTGACTTGGTGACTGCAGGGCTGGGAACACTGCAGAGCTGTAGACAGGAATAGTGTTTACTTCACACGTGGTGGCGTGGTCAGTGGGGAACGATTTGAAAAGTGCCCGGAAACAAGGCCCAGCATTTAGAAGATGTTCATTAAATGGTAATTTGTATTTTCATTCACCAAAGACCATGACCTGTATGGTGCCTGCTCATGACAGGTGCCCAGTAAATTCCTAAAAAATGTCACTGGCAGGAAGGCAGGGAAAAGACGGGAAATTCTCACCTTAAAGCCAGAATTGTTACTTTTAGAAAGAAGACAACCTACACCTGGGGTTCTGCTTAAGAAAATACATTCCCCTGACAGCATACAAGCCAACATGAGGAAGAAGACATAAAATACCAGCAGTCACTAAACAAGTCCGCCCTGGAAGCACTCTGACATTCAAATTTAATCCACCCAACAGTCCTTTGACGTAGGTATTGTTATTAGCCCACTCTAATGATGAGGTTGAGGTTCAGAGAGGTTAATGAACTTGTTGAAGAACACACAGCTCGTACACGGTGGTGGTGCTACAGTGCTCTTAACCACTGTACTGCTGCCTGTAGGCACTAAGTCAGCAAGGGGGGTTGGAAGTATAGATAGCCATGCTTCTGCGCCCCTGACTCACAGGAAGATTTCTGGGAGCCCTGCTCACTCTACTCCAAGGGCCCTGACAGAGGAGCCAGCCTCAGACCGTGGTTTTTCTCCCAACTCCCAGAACAACCTAGCCCTGCTCCCTCCTCCCCCTCAGCCCAGTCAGCATTTAACCTTTGGGTCCCACAAAGGAAGCTCACATCCCACAACTGTTTAGTGGGCTATAATCCTGGAGAAAGTTCACTCCTTGGGAAATCCAACGTGGGGGGTGGTTGTTGCTGGAATGTGTGTGGCTGGGACCCAGTGTCCGAGCCCAGACAGCAGGCTCTGCTGAGGCCATGAAGAAAGCAGGCGGCCAGGGGAATCAGGAACCCCAGCCCCCAGCTGTGCCAGAGAATGGAATGCACTGCTCTGCCTGGGTGTTGAAACAGACCCAGCCAAGGAAGGACAGGGGGTGCTGGGAGCGTGCTCCTGCCACAAGGCTGCCTCTGTTCCCCTGGAGGCTGAGCCCATTTCACTAAGGCTGGGGGTGGAAGGCCCCTCCTGCAAGCTCAGTGGCTTAAAAGCTCCTAGAGCAAGTGGGGAGCAAGGCAGAATGGAGGGGAGTGTAACAGCCAGGACCACACCATGTTCTTAAATTCCACTAAGAAGGCATGTATGAGCACCTGTGGTATAATTCCCATCCAGCTCCACGGCTTACTAGCCCTGTGACCTTGGACAGGTTACTAGCCCTGTGACTTGGGCAGGTCACTAGCCCTGTGACCTTGGGCAGATCACTTAACTTCCATTGGCCTCCATTTGCTCATCAATTAAATGGGGTTAATTACAGAACCTCGCTTCGGGAATTGTCATGAGATATAAAATGAGACGTGCTCACCATGTCGCCTGGCACAAGCGCTGCATAAACGTAGGTATTACCACTATCTTAGGCTACCAGCTCTAGGACAGGTGCTGGAGCCAGGGCCCTGCAAAGGAGTGCCTCACTCCATAGAGACACGGAGATAAAAATGGAGGTTCATCTGGCTTCACCTCCAACAGCCAGGTGGTCAAGGACCACAAATCCTTAAGCCCTCAGGAACCACCATCAGTTCAAGGTCAGCTAGAGCTCTCTGGGGGCTTCTCCCCACCACTACCAAATCATGACCAAATCTTCAACCCAAGCCAGGCTGTGGGTGCTGGCAACGTACCCCAGAACTGCCCTGACAGACGCCAGGAAGGCAGCAGAACCTAGCTACCATCCCCTCCGCCCTGGGTAGCTATACCTGAGAACAAACTTCTTTGAAACCAGGCACCCAATTCTACAAAGGGCAGTCTGCCTTCAGGTCACCCCTACCTACCATTCAGGTGCTCTCTGCCCCCGCCAGCTGTAAGGCACAATCCTATCCTGGTTAATCTCTCTTGAGCTCTGTTTTCATGGTGGTGCCTGCACTTGAAAGTTGTCCATCTCTGGCCAGCTCTCGAGGCCCTCACATGCTCCTCCAGAGTACACGGAGGTGGCCCACCAGCTTCCCTTCTGTGAAGCCACTGACCCCACTTGATAAAAACTGTTTCTCACGCCCTGGTACCCAGCCCCACAGGCTACTGGCACTGTACCATTACACATTGCTTGCATTTTCCCAAAGTAAAATGATTTTGACTATGCTTTTTCAAACTACACGCTGGCCTTTCACTCAGATTCTTTCCTGAATAAGAATCTTAGATTATGCTCTAGTTTAAAAAAAAAAAAAAAAAAAGTCACCATTCTAAGGCATCCAGGGCAGAGTTGTTTGTTCTTTTCCAGAAGATTGAGAGGATAAGAGTCACAAGTTAGCATTTCCTGCGTGCCGTGCCTCATGTGGACCGTCTCATTTAGTCCTCTCAGCATCCCTGTGAAGCAGCTGTTCCTGTCACACCCATTTTACAGGTGAGAAAAGCAGCTCAGAAAGGCTTGGGGGCGACGCCACTGTCACAACTCACTACAGTATGGCTGCGCCAATAATGGCTCATGGAGCCAAGTGTGGGGTGGGCACAGCAGGTGCCTGCCATGACTGCCCCAGGGCTCTCCTGGGCTAATGCTGGCTGCTCCTGCTGTGAGGAGAGTCCCTTCTTCCACCCTCTTAACGCTGTGGGGAGAGTGCACCCTCAAGAGACCATCGTGTGGCTTCTGCAGTGAGGCGCTGGCCTGGATGACCTTTGAGCATGTTCCAACTGACCTCACCGTGACACTCGCCCCCCCTTCCTGAGACCTGCCTGGGGTAGCATCCTCTTCCCAGGACCAGGCGCTAACTCTGCTGTCCCCTTTGGCTCCAAAGCCCTATTTTCCATTCCTCTCAGCACCTTACTGTTCCTCTCCACCACCAGGCACCCAGTAGTTGAGTGGTACATGCATGATGGAACAGGCCTCTCCATCCCTCTATGGCCCTAAGCCTACAGTCTGAGAGACACAGTTCACCTCCATCCCTGGTCTGCAAAGTGCCAGGCCAAAGCTTTCAGCACAAATTCCCTGAGCTTCAGTCTCCTGACCTGTAAAATGGGGAAAACAGGGCTGGCCTCCTAGGGCCATTGTGAGGAGTATACGAGATGTGTGTGTAGAACACTTACTACCTCTGTGCTGGCCCCCAGGAAACATCCTGCACCCCAGCCTTTCATGCTTCTACTTCCCATGTCACAGCCTTGGGAACAGGTGGACGCAAGGACCAGGACAGAAACAGCAGCTTGAGGCCTTTTTATTGACAATTCTCCAAACACACAGAAATCCTTTGCACTCCTCTCCAGTGTAAGTAAACTACAGACACTTAACTCTCGTCTCTTCACAGGACAAAGGGACCTAAGGAAGGGGGAACACCAAGGCCTGCTTGGTTCTCCTGGGACATGTACCTCATTGGCTTGGGGCAAGCCCCTGGCTGCCCACCCCAGCGAGACTGGTTGGCCTGGCAAGAAAGCTGGCCCAGGGTGAGTCCCCACCCCTCCTGGCCCCCGCTCAGGATACAGAAATACCTCTTCCTCTTATGGGTTCTGGTCCCAGGCAGCCATGACTCCAGGGAAGAACCCTAGGGTAGGAGAAGCCTTCCATCCTCCTCCCATTCCTTATGCCACATTTTCCAAGGAACCATGCAATAAATAAATAAATACATCAAAAAGGCAGGGAAGCTCCAGGGCAGGAAAGGTGCCTGAGCCTGCTCATGGCTTAGGGAGGGACCTGAGTCCCTAATTGTCCACAGTGAATGTGAAATTGCTGGACAGAGGATGGGGAACCCAAGTGGCCATAACCCACACTGAGACTGTGCTGTTGGGGAGCAACCCTGGAATCTAGAACCCAGCCCCGCAAGAGTCCACATTTCCCAGGCGCCCAAGGGTCCAGGGCTTCAGGAATGCTGCTCTGCTCACCGGGTCTGTCTCCATGGGCGAAGGGGCAGGGGGAAACATGTAGCTCTGGGCCAGAGGAGGGGGTGCCTGAGGCTGAATGGGGGGCACAGGAAGACCCAAGTGTGAGGCCTCTACTGCGGAGCTGAGGACAGCGGGCAGTACATGGCTGAGATGCAGCAAGTCAAGTTCCTGGCAGAGTGGCCGAGGTCACTGAAGCTGCTGGAGTCCCTGGAGCCCCAGGCTCTGCTGAGCTTAACACTGAGGGATTCTGCCAGGCCCTCCCCTACATACTCTCTTCTGGGGGAACTTGGGAAAGAACTGTTTCTAGAAGCACTCCTGGTCTTATTGGCCCCGACAACACCCTCTAGTGGGGAAATGAGATCCTCATGCCTGGAGGGACATTCCAACAGCAGAGTTGGGGTGAGGCACTCCTAAGCCCTTCTTCAGGTTCTCCTGAGGGCAAGTGCTCCATCCATTATCCAACAGGGGAAGAATTTCTTTTCCCAGTGTCCAAACTCTGGTCTCCTAGAATTCCCAGGCCTGGAGAGAAGCCCTGATCCTCAAAAAGCCCCAGGGGCAACCAAGCCTCGCTCACTGCTGCCCTCTAGCTTACATTCCTGGGTTCATTAACAGCTCAGGACAGAGCAGGCAACCATGCTAGGCCCTGCAGGGCTCCCCTCCCCTCTGGGGCTTAACAGCAGCCATCACCAGCCCTCCCCAGAAATGGAGCACAGCTCCAGAACCTGGTGGAGACAGCAAGGACAGAAAGGGAAAGCCTACCTAGCTTTGGGCCACACTCGCCCAGCACACGCCACACAGGGCTAGGGATGGGGAGAGTGGGGTCAAGGCTGGCCCCAGGGATGATGCCCGCTTGGACCCTTGCCCTTCTTCTCATTTGCTCAAGGTCTGGTTACACGAGGCACACACAAACACAGTCTCCCTCTGGGCTTCCGGGGCTGAAAAGGAGGAAGAATTTGGTTAGACGCTTCCTCATGTCCTTTGGCCCATGGCCCCAACTCTAGAACTAACTTCTCCCTACCTGAGAGCCCCATGCAGATCACCCTTGCTGACCGAGTTCACTAGCCTGCATTTTCATGGTACAGCTCTTTCCATGGGCACTGGAGACTTTGGGGTCATTATGCCAATAGCAGGCCTCTCCCAGAGCCCCAAGCATTAGAAAGTATTTTGGCACCAATAGAAACTTTTAAAAATGTTTTTTAAATAAAATGCCAAAGAAAAACTTCCAGAATGTTTTAACTGGTTATCCCAGGTGGAAGATCACAGGATTATTTTTCTCTTCCTTCTCTGCACAACAATTTCCTAATCTATCTGAATAAACATGTGTTACTTGCATGACTGGAAAGATTTAAAAAAAAAAAACAACCTAGCTAAACATACATTTTACAAAGGAGTACTTAAAAACACGCACCCAATTTTTTTAGAATGTGCTACGCACTTTCCTGTGTGTGAGCTGGCACTGACAATCCAGAACAATTCTCTGAGATTAGGACTTTCTTCCTTTTGCTCATCTGCATACTCAGTTTTGTTTACAGTGAGTATGTACATCTTTCCTAAAAGGAAAAATTTATTTTCTCATTTTGTTAAAAGTGTTACTGAGATAATGAGAGAAAGAATGTAATTCAGGAAGGTGCTTCTGCTAGGGAAGGCAGGAGAAGCACCAGGAAGCCTCAGCGGTGTGACTAAAGTTCTATTTTCTACCTTTAAAGCAGCAAGTCACAGGCATGCACTGTTACGCTTCCCAATTCAGTCACATTACATATGTTCTTGTGCAGGCATCAAATATTTCAGGGTTTCATTTGATAAAGGGGGTGGAGATGTTACTACAGGCCAGACTCCCAAGTTCCCTTGACCTCTCACTGACCCTCTGCTCCTTTCCCACAATGCAGCAGCCCCTCAGAAGGGGCAGGACCCTGCCAACCCTCCCAGTGCCCACACACTCACCTGTGGCCCCCATGAAGGACTTGGGCACCTTGAAGGAGCAGCACCGAGAGCAGAAGCTGTTTCCACAGTTACTGCAGCTCCGCTGCAGACAAGAGCCAAAGTCAAAATCCAATGCATCTTCCACCCGAGGCACCCGAAGCCCCTGCTCGCCCACCTCCTTTCCACCAGCTGATCGAACCTCAGGAAACTGGGATCACTGTGGAACTGGGCAGGAGTGAGACCAAATGGGGCAGCCCCAAGAAGGTTGGCAAAGGCGTGAGCACAGGGGCTGGGGGACACCCACTCCTGTGAGCAAACCTCGGCACCCAACCCCAGTGTGGCCAGAGGAATCAGACTTTGTTGATAACTTGGCTATATCTCGTCACAAGTCCCCAAAAACACACCATCAAGGAAACTTACCCTCTTCTTCAGCACTGAGAAGGTGGCCGAGCAGCCCGTACAGCTCCCTGAGGAACAGAAGCAGCAGCTAGCCTTGACCCGCCCTGGCCTCTCAACTCCCTCCTGCACCTGGCTCCCCTAAATGGGGACACTCAGGACACCACCCAGCCCAGACACCCTGGGCATGAGAAGGGAGCAAGGGAGCACAGTCCAGATCTGCAGTCAAAGGAGGAATTCAAACCGAACAGGGAAAACTGACCGCCACTGGGACGCCAAGCCTCCAGACAACACGCAGCTGCCAGTCCCTGCACCCTCCAGGGCTCAAAGGCCCCACCCTTGGGTCCAGCTCCGGAAATCAAGGAGCATCCAGCAGCATCCACTCCGTGACCACACCACACTGGTGTGGACAACGGCATCCCTCCATGGCAGTAGCTCCAACGACCTCAAATGAAGCCTGCCTGACATGACCCCTTCCAAAGTGTCACCTTACAGGTACTCTGCCCACAGGTAAAAACAGAAATGACTCCTAAAACCTCAGACACCTGCTCTCTGTCATTTAAGAGGCTCAGAACCAGGCAACTTCCAAGATGTGCAGGGCAAAACACACAGGCACTGTAAATGGCAGGTGGGGTGGGGCAGGAGAGAGCCGGAGACCACAGCAGCTGAGGAAATGGCCGCAAGGAGGCAGGAAGCTGTAAGAAGAGAGAACGGATGGGGAAGCAGAGGCCCCAATTGTTCTTTTAGAGGCAATGTCAAGGCAGCCAGGCCTAACAGAAGTGGTGCCCATCAATACCCAGAAAAACTAAAGATGGAACACACGACTACAAGGACATGGACTGATGAGGGGGGTGCACACAGGTGAGAAGAGAATCAAAAGAAAGGAGGCAAACAGACATGCGGAGGAAGGAAAGGCCACGGTGGGCCTTACAACTAGAGTAAGCCCCAGAAGCAAAAGCAAACCCTGACTGCCCCGGGAATACTGACCATATTCAATACTGACTGGCAGAAACTGCCACGTAGGCAGGGGGCACTGAGCCAGGGAGAAAAGGCAGTGATCCACAGAAGGCATAAGGGCACTCCCTAAAGGGGCCCAGAGAACGCTGCCAAAGGCAGGGTCCCAAAAGGAAGCTAAATTGGGTCTTGGAAAAGCTTGAGAAGGGAGAAGGTTACTAAAGGAGGTTTCTAGAACTGGGGCCCAAAGACTTCCTGTGATCTAGCCAGAGCAAAGCTCGGCCTGCAGCAGCAACACTGTGCCTCCCGGACCACGGTGGGTCAGGTACAGAGCACCAGGTCTCGCCTTCACACCAAGGCCCCAAAGCAACACTGACCTATGGTCTCTTCCTCTGTTCAGTCAGAATCACCTGCAGCTCCTGCTGACGGAGACTCTCAGGTTCAAGGAAAGAAGGCACCAGCCAGAGCAAGGAGAGACCTGGAGCCAAGTTGCTTCAGGTAAATGCTGTTGTCAGCCAGCGGGCAGCTGCCGCAAAGAAAAGGCAAAAAGAATATACAGGTGCCACTGCCCGCTCCCAGCCTGCGGGAGCTATACCTGCAACACAGCAAAGAGCTCAAAAACACCTCAGGGGAGGGACAGCAGGCAGTCCTGAAGGACAGGGTGCTGAGAGGGGCTCAGAAAAAGCTGCATTTCCTGCCCTTGCCCTCCTCAGGGGAACCTGAAAGGCCTTCACCCATCCTGACAGGGATTATCTGAATCAAAAACAAAATACAGAGATGATAGACAGACTTTAAATCCAGGGCACCTCCCACACCCGGGCAGAGGAAGTGGGTGGTTAGAAGAACACAGGAGCCTAAGCAGATGTCCTGAGTTTGAGTCAAAGCTCAACCATGTACTGACTGAAGGCTTTCTGCAAATGCTTTGGCCTCAGGTTACACACCTGTAAAATGAGAACATCTAATGGCCTTTACTTCATATTCAGATACAGGTGAATCGTCTGCCAGAGCAGAAATACCAATGCTGCGCAGTGTCACCTGGGACTTCTGGAAACCAGCTGCTTCCAAGTCCGTAAGAACCTCCTGCCTACTCCTGTCACATCTACCATCAGGACTATATGAGCCAGCAGAGGTGGAAGCACACAGAACCCTGCGCTGCACAGAAGCCAGAGAACAGAAGGCACCTTGAATTTACATGCAAAAAGCAACAGCATGGCCAGGGCCTCTGTGCCCGAGAAAACAGCTGCCGTGGTTGCCGCAGGGGCGGGAAAGCAGGCCTCTAGATGCCCTGGGTCAAATTCCTCTGGATAATCCCCAGGAGCTTCTCCCAGGAAGGGCTCAGGACCCAGAACTCACTCCCACCAGAATACACAGTACAGCCACCCAGTCCTCCTCCCTGTCAGCTGACACCCAGCAATTCCCGAGTCACCCACCCTAGGGTGATTCTAAGCTTCAGCCATAACTTTCCTGCGTTGGCTCTCGCTTTGGTGACAGGCAAATCCACCCTTCTCCAGAGTGTCTTTCTACCCCTCAATAAAACTAGGACTGACCAATCAACGTGGCTGGAGAGAAGGACACTGAGGATTCTATCACCTGAGAAGATACTGTTTGCTTCAACTTGCTTCCACCTGGATTGGAAAGATCGAGAGTTTCCTAGAAACCTGAGGGATGGGTCAGGGCCTCCAACATCAACAGTGAGTCTCATCCAAGTTCCTGCTACAAACCAGCCAGCACCGTGCTAGCATTCACTACATATTATCTCATCTACTGACATAACCACCCTGTGAGAAAGGGAAACTGAGGCGCCAGTTGAGTAATTTGCTGAAAGACACCAGGCAGAGCTGGGATTTGCACCAAATGCAACACAACCTTCCGAGGTTCTGCCTGGCTCAGGATGAAACCTTCCCTGCAGTCCTGTGGTGGCAAGTTTCCAGAACTGATGGCCTCATCTTTCCACAGGCTAAGCCCCATCAGGACAGAGACACAAAAAGGAAGCCACACCGCTCCCTCATCAGGCCCACTACACACTGCCCCTGCCCAGGGCCCCAGAGAAAGAGCATTGCTCCATGCTCTTGTCATAAACCAGCACCCCACCCCCCACACTGTTCTGCTCCCCGCTGGTACCGAAGTTGTTGGTGGGGTAGCGCTTGCGGAGTCGCTCCGTGAGCCGCGACACCTTGCTGCGCAGCACCTCATTCTTGCTCAGGATGCCGTTGTCCTGCAGGGCCAGCTCATCCTCTGCTGGGCACGGAGCACACTCGTCGTCATCCTGTGGGAACAGCTCCTTCTAGTCCTGCCCACCTCTTAGCAGGACTCTGGGACCTGCGTGCAGAAGCGCCCCGGCACAGCGGACCCCACAGGCGACAGCTGGCTCAGCCACCCTCCCCCACCCAGTCCCTGCCCACCTCACCAGGCTCCTACTCACCAGCACCACCAAGTGGGTCTCCTGCCTCCCAAGATGCGGGGGAGAAGGAGAGAAAATAGGGGAGACAGAGAGATAGCAAGAAGGAGGAAGCTGCTAGAAGGGGATCCCCAAGAAAAGGGAGTCACAGAAGTACTACTCTTGAGTCATCCCCAGGGGTGACATTAACAGAGGCCCCAGTGAAAGGACCCCGATACTGACTATGCTTGAGACTCCCTGGGAGAGGTTGTATACTACCGTCTTCTCAACTGGCTGAAATTAATTTGCTGGTCATTATTTTAATAGACTAGAACAAACCAAGACAGAAAATATTCCTTACAATGTATTTTTCAGGAAACCTCTGCTACAGTCAAATTTTCTCTCTTTTCCACACTTAAATGTAAACTGAGTCATGATGGAAAATGGGCTTCTTACTGTGGATTATAAAGAAAAATGCTTGAAAGTCCCTCCCAATTATATTCCTTACCACCATCAGAGTCTACAAGGTTCAGAGTCTACAACCGTATATTAAGGTCCCAGAGAAATCACACAGCAGTTAAAAATAGATGAGGCTGACGTTAGTACAGAGGGCTAGATGGAAATGTAGGTTCAATGACCCCCATTTCTTATTCCTAATTTCCCACTTTATGAAGAGACACAAACAAAAATGATTTCCTACTCTAAGAAAAACAAGAAAGCAAATGTGACAATAAATGAGCTGGGACCCAGGGACGAGACGGGGGGGGGGCTATGTGACCTCTGAAGGAGACCATCACTCCTCAGTTACTACAGAGCTATAGCTCTAGCCCTGTAGACTCAGGACTCTGATTTTGATTCTTCAGACACTGAAAATCTGTAAAAGTTTTCACTGAAATCTCCATTTTTAAATATTAGCTAAAAAAAAAAAAAAATCAAAACTTTAAATGCTTGCACTCCAGATAAAAGATTTCTGCCATCTACTAGTCTGAACTGCTGTCCTAAACTCAGGAAGACTTTAGCTTTCTCTCTGACTTAGCACCTGGCCATGCATCCAGCTTTTCTAATCTCCCCTCCCTACACCTCAAAGGGACATCTTGCAGAGAACAGTCAGAGGCCCAGGGCCTTGCCTCCCCCAGTGCCTCCCCCAATCTGTGCTTACCCCAAATCAGAGGCACTCAGCCCAGTGACTCTAGTCAAGGCAGTAAATAACCCCCTCCCCAACCCCACTCCCGCACCCCACCCCTGCCTCGCTACATCAGGCATTTCCCAGAGGCTTCCAGAGTCATCCCCGTCCTGGGCACCCAGGACAAGGGAAGGTTCAATGTCACCCTTCCAACCAGTGGGTTCTAGCTCAGGGCAAGTTTCAACTCCTATTTGGATAAAAAAAATTTCCAAAACCCAGCCTTGGGATGTGAGAAGTCACATGGCTCCAGGGCCACCCACCTCAATCGCATCTTTAAACTCCTCATCAGGCTCAGCCTCCTCCGCCTCCTCCACGCTACCCGGCGTGAGGTCCTGGGAAGGGAGACTCTATTACAGAAAGAGAGAGATGAGCCCTTCCTCCAAGGTCTAAGCCATATAAACCACCTCCCAGAGCCAAAACCCAGGCTTCCCAAACATCCATTCCTCACCCAGAGAAAGCAGCAGGAAGGCAAAAAAGAAGGAAGTTACTGGGAAGAGGGCCCTCTAGCCCAACAGGATGGGGAGATGGGCCAACGTGGTTGGCAGCACTGTGATTGAGAGTATGAGCCCCAGAACCACAGGGCGTGGGTCTGAGTCCTGTTCCCACCACTCTGGGCAGCCACCCTGCCTCAGCCTCTGAAAGTGAGAATGTTCTCATTCTCAGAAATAACCAACACCTCATGGGGTTACTAGCCACAAAGCACTTGGAACAGCAAAGTAAGCACTCAATAAAGCAGAAAATAAATAGAATAGCTATTACTATTGCAGTTATTACTAAGCACTTCAAAGGAGAGAGGCCTGGGCAGAAGCAGGAACTAAACAGAGGCCTGCCCAGGAGCTGCATAGAATGAAGTTAGTAATAGGAAGGCTCCACAGCCTGGCTGCAGCAAGCTCTGCCCTGATGGCCCGGGGTACTCACCTCTGTGGGTGTGGACACAGGCGTGCACTCGAACAGATTGCCCTTCCCCCCCGCTTCCAGCAGGGGTGGGCTCTCAAAGGCACTCTGTTCCTGCTTGGGGTTCATCCGTCGCTGCAGAGAAGCCCTGTACTCAGACACCACTGGCCAGGACAAGAAAAGGGCGGGGGATAGAAACAGGATGGAATGAGTGGTGCCTTGGGAGAAACGACTGCTACAGCTGGCTGGCCTCTTCCTCCAACACCCCACTTTCTCCTACAGGAAAGGGCTGCCCTCCCAACTCTGAACAAGTCACCTAAGCCAAGCCTCATAAACAAAACACAGATACTACCGCCCACCCCATGAGATTGTTATAGAGAAATTAAATGCAGAAAGTGCCTGATAAATTTCCTCCCAGCCACAAGGAGGAAAGCAAATATAGCAATCACCCCAAACATATGTACAGACCTAGGCCTCTGTGACTCAGGGCCTCGCCAGACTGCCTCACTGTTTCAGAAGCCAGATGGCAGAGGAGTACTCTGGAATCACACAGAGATGTGGCAGCAACTCCAGGTGGCTGCATCCCGGGGGGTGGTGGCAGCACGGGGAAAACACCCCTCCCTCATCTCCCAGAGGCCACCATAATATGTAAGCAGCGATTCACCTGCCTTGTAAAGAGAGGGGGACCCCTAGGTAGCAGCCTCTCTGTATCTCAACCACCACCCTAGTGTGGTGCTGCCCCCTGCTGGAAGGCAAACAAATGATCTGCTAGAGAGAAACCAGGGAGCCTCACCAGCCCTCAGTGTGGCCCAGGCCCTATGTCTGCCAAGCTCCCAGGGCTTACCTCTGAAGAACTCCACGTTCCCCAGAAAAAGTGTGCTGTTTAAAAGGGCAAGGACCCAGCACAGCGGCAGCAGATACAGCATGCAAACCGTGCCCAGAAGAGCCCCATAGAACCTGGATCAACAGAAAGGAACCACAAGCTCAGTAGTTCGTAAGATCAGAAGGAAGCCTACTTGGAGCACACCCACATAACAGTCTGGGGAAGAAACAGCTCTGGGCAGTTAGTAAGCAGCCCAGATGTGCTCATCAAACATGTGGAAACTGAAGCAACGAGGAAGGACTACCAACAAGCCAGTGGCTGACAGCCTGCACTGGTAGGGCTGCCACGGCAAGGCTGCACGAGAGCCCACCCAGCACTCTGCGGGCTCTGGATCCTGAAGTCCAGAATAAGAGAGACTTGGATTTGAATCCAGCTCTGCCACTTCTCGCTGTGTGACCTCAGACAAGTCCCTTGGTTCTTGAGCATTACTTCCTTCATGTGTGAAATGGGGACTAACGTAGTGCCTGCCTACCTCAGGGTTAACTACAAAGATGGAGCTCATTCATGGAAAGTGTCTAGCACGGTGCCTGGCACAAGGTGGAAGACTGACTAAATACTAGTCCTCATTATTATTCATAAATAAAACCCCAAAGACACTCGTGCCATTTAATCCAGTAGTTTTCAGAATTTATTCTAAGAAAAAAACTTCAAAAGATGAAAAGCTAAACCCATTAAAATGTTCACTACAGGGTTACTATTAAAAGGTAGAAACTGACTAAATGTATTAGGAGAGTGAGTCCATGTATTACATTACATTCACTAGCTATATTAACCTGATACTACAAATAATCCCAAAAGGTATGTAGCAACAAAGAAACCTATTTATGATATAAGGGAGAAAGAGAAAAATCTCACATACACCATGAGGCTATCTATCTACAAAGTACACTGGACCCTTGAACACTGCAGGGATAAGGACACCCATCCCCAAACAGTCAAATATCTACACATAACTTTTGATTTCCCCAAAACGTAACCAGAGTCACATCACACCCCTCCTCAGATACCAAACTCCACAGAGGCAGAAGTTCCCCCCAGGTGGCCTCCTCATCCGTGGGTTCTGCATCTGCGGATCCCATCGCCTAACACCTGCTGATGCGGGAATGTGAAACCCATGGATGCAGAGGCCAGCTGTGCTTATTGAAAACAACCCAAGTATGGGTGGCTCCATGCAGTACAAATGTCTGCTGTACCAGGGTCAACTGTACGTGCATATGACAAAACTCTAGAAGGCCATTTCAACATGAGATCAGCTGCTATACCAGCGGGGGAGAATACATAGTGAGTTATTTTGCTATTATTAAAATTTTACCATACATAAAAGAAGGCATCTAAGCCCATAAAAGCAGGGCACTCGAGCCCCTAAGTCTGTGTAACTGCACACAAGAGCCTTGGAGCTTCTCTTCCCTGAGGTAGTGGGGCAGGGCCCTGTCAAGACAGCTAGCCTAGTGGGGTCTCAGCGACTAATTCCTCCAGCGCAGCAGGGGTGGGAGCGGAGGGGCCACTCACTGTGAGGACACAACGGGGTTCTCCCAGTGCAGCACACGGTAGGCAGCTTCGCAGGTGCCACAGAGGCGGCTCAGGAAGGCCTCTAGCTGGATCAGGCTGCAAACGAGGGACTTCGGTGAGCCACATGCCCTACCATCCAGCACCTGACAGAGCTCTGGGGCAGCAGAGCCTAGGACTTTGCAGGCCCAACTGGCTAGGGGTGGCCAATCTCTTCAAATCCACAAAGGGGTCACATCAGAGAGCTTGGAAGAAATTTTTCACATTCCAGTCCCCATTTGGGATGCCTACTGAGGTGGAAAATGGACCAAGCTTCCTGCTTTGGTCTCTTCCTAGCTGTTGACAGTGGTGGGCTGGCTACTGAACTTTTCCAGAGCTGCAGTTTCCTCATCTATAAAATGAGGAGGGTACCCACCTCACAGACACTGTGTCAGTGTGTCTGTGAAGATACATGGCAGGATGTAGATCAACGTGTCTCCACTTGGGGTGTAAGACAGACTCACTTGGAGAGGCTTTTGTTTTTGTTTTTAATGGATGCACCCCTAGAAGCAATGAGCACAAGATCTGTACCCAGATCTTAGTTTCTGAAGGGCCCTTGAAAAAATGGTTGACATTAGGGCAGGGTAACCATAAGATGAATGTGAACGCCCCATTGTTCCATAAAGTAAGAAAACACTCAAAACTGATGGGGACATACAAGAACACAGGAGCCATTTCAACAGAGCTTCTCCGACTAGTCAGAATCTAGAACAACATGAGATCAAATAAATAACGGCAGCAATGGAGGACAGTCACATTTCACTTAACAGCAGGGATATGCTCTGGGAAATGCCTCCTTTGGCTATTTAATTAGGTGAATGTCAGAAAGAACTTACACACATGCAGAGGGCATGGCCATTACACACCTGGGCTGTGTGGTCCAGCCTACTGGCACCACTGCCATAGGTGGTCCTTCATTGACCAAAATATCATTAAGCTGTGAATGAGCATAAAACCCACTGAATTAGGGCCTCCCTGATGATGCAGCAGTTGAGCGCTAGGCTGCGAAGCTGCCCACAGCCTCTGCAGCACCAGTTGGATCCCCGGCCGCCAGAGAGGGTCCCACATGGCGCGCAGACCTCTCCTGCACGTCTGCTGCTCCCCGCAGCAGTGTACTTCGTTGGTCTGCCTGTTCTGTTCCCCGCTCTGGCTATGGTGAATTCTCTCACCCTCCTGTGCTTCTGACTGTACCAAGTGCTTGTATAAATAAATAAATCTTTTTTAAAAAATTTAAAAAAATAAAAGCCACTGAATTAAACTAAAAATCTGAGTTCATTTGATAACAAGAAGGAAAAGTTCTTCCTTACAATGGAATGCCAGTTAATAATGCCAACTAGAAAATAACCTTGGGCCTCCCTGGTGGTGCAGCAGTTGAGCACTGGATTGCGAAGCTGCCCGCAGCCTCTGCAACGCTGGTTCGATCTCTGGCCACCGGGCGAGGGGCCCACATGGCGCACAGACCTCTCCTGCTGCGCCTGCTGCTCCCCTCAGCAGTGTACTTCGTCAGTCTGCCTGTTCTGCTCCCTGCTCTGGCTCTGGTGAATTCTTGCACCCTCCCGCACCTCTGACTGTACCCAGTGCTCATATAAATAAGTAAATAAATCTAAAAAAAGAAAAAAAAGAAAATAACCTTTCCAGCCATCATTGAAACAAATTGATGAAGGGAAGGCTCCTCCAAGGATTTAAATGCACTGGGTGAATGTATGGTAAGGAACAAGATATTTACATAGTCTCAAAGTACCCACCCCGCAAATTATTAACCCCAGAGGGTACAGTGGAAAAACTTGAACTAAATGACCTCAGTTAGTGTGTCCATAACAAGACACAATGATATCGTAGGCATCTTGATATGACAAAATAATAGCACTAATAATCAATGGGTGTTCACATTCATCTTGTCATATTCCTATCAAAAATGCATCTAATCAATCCACAAATTGAAGATAAATCAACAAGCTTGTTCTACTCAAAAATGTTAGGTCATAAGAAACAAAGATGGGGGAACTACTCCAGGTCACAGCAGAATAAAGAAAAATAAAAATGAGATGTAACGTATGATTCTGGCTGGCTCCAGCTTCAGGGGAAATTGATATAAAAAGACCTTATTAAAATAACCACTGAGGTTTGATTGGGAATTGAGTATCAGACTGACAGTATTCAGTTCATGCTGTCAGTGTTAAATTCCCTCACTCTGATTTCAGGACTGTGACTACAAAAAAAAAATGTCCTTGTTCTTAGGAAATACACACTGAAGTATTTGGGGTAAAGAGGCAGGATGTTTGCAACTTACTTTCAAATGGCTCAGGAAGGAAAAAAAAAAATGTATGTATAAAGAGATAGATGAAGCCAGCATGGCAAAATGTAATAACTGGGGAAAGGGTATATGGGAGTTCTTTGTATCAGTCTTGGAACTCTTCTCTAAGCTTAAAGTCATTTCTTTTTTTCTTTTTTTTTTTTTGCAGGACCCTCACTGGCAGCAGGGGAACGAACCGGCACTGCAGAGGCTGTGGGCAGCCTCGCAGCCCAGCACTCAACCGCTGCGCCACCAGGGGAGGCCCTAAGCTTAAAGTCATTTCAAAGTAAAAAGGTTTTATAAAACACACACACACACACACACACACACACACACACAACACCCAGGCCTCACTCAGATAACTGACACAGAATTTCTAGGCCAGGACCCAGGCCTCCAATTGTTTATTACTCTCTTTTTGAAGCTCAGCTATTCTGTATGTCAAGAGAGGCCAGTCCCAGAAGAGCTCAATAAATGCCAGCTGCCACTGAAGCTGTTACAGTTATTATTATTCAACAGTGCAGAGGTGCTTCCCCAAAAGTACCAGATCTGTAACACTTAGGAAGTTTCTTCACTGTGTAGTGATGATAACTAGTGTTAACTGACACTTCCTGGGTTCCAGAAACTCCTTTGACCTTCACAGTCTTCTAATGCATGAGCCTATCTATCACTACCCCGTTTAACAGATGAGGAAGCTGGGGCACAAGGAAACAGAGCAGCTTGCCCAATGTCACAGCACAAGTAAATGCAAGAGCCTGAATTTGAACTCAGGCTGTGGCTCACACATGCAGGTACTTAGTCAAGGCCTTAAACTGTCTCTCTAGTGGGAGGAACACAAGCTGTGAAATCAGTCAGATCCGGATTCTCTTCCCAGTTCGGTCACTTTCAAGGTGAGTAAGCCTTTTTCCTCATCCACAAATGGAAGACAGTAATAGTAGCTACCTCCCAGAACAGTTAAAAAGATGAAGGGAAATAACTTCTGTGATATGCCTGCCACAGTGCCAGGCACAGAGCATGGCTCAACCACGTGACTACTATAACTGACACTGCGCCCCCCCCAAGACCCAAGACCCACGACCCCCGCCGCCCCCCACAACCCCCACCCACTCCACCCCTGCCCCCCTCCCACCCCTGACCCTTCCATACTCACAAGCTCTTCACTTCAGCCACAGCTTCCGGACGGGACAGGCGAACTCTCTGTAAATCCTCCTGCCTCACGCTGTGATACTTCCTCCGCATCAGCTCAGCTTCGGGCAACCGGGCCCGACAAACCTCTTGAAGATAGCCCAGCAGCGCGGGCACTGAGATCACTAGGGCACCCAGTGAGTACCATGCCCCTATGGAATCAACAACACTGCAGGTAAACAGGGAGCAGGACTGGAGGCTGCGCCCGCCAGAATGTCCACGTGCTCACTCCCTCACCTCCTCCAGGGCACTGCCCAAAGGCCTTCCCCGATCCCCTGTCTGAAGCAGTACCTCCCTCAATCTCCAGCTTCATTTTCCTCAGAGAACTTATCACCACATGACAGATTATAGGTACTGGTCATTGTCTCTTCCAAGGATGTAGCCTCATGAGGGCAGGGACTCTGTCCATTTGGTGGTCACCCATTTTTTTATATTATAAAACTTATGTCAGCACACAGTAGGTGGTTCATGCCTAGACTCTGGCTGCTGGGAGCTGTGTCTTATCTCTGAGTGCCTGGGGCTGACCACTGTGAACTGAGAAATGATGAGACTAAGAGAAAATTCCAAAGAACTTCTCCCATGGAACATGGTACCCTGAAGCAAGCTAACAGAGCCCTGGCACATAGTAAATGCCTGTGAAATATCTGTCATCTGAATCAATTGACTTTGAAAATATATATAGAAAAATCAAATAGCCTCAGAAAGAAATCCGAGTTTCAATCAAGTGAAGAGCCCTACTAAGAAACAGAAGATGAGGTCTTATACAACCTGTGCTTATTTTCAACCCCAAGTCCCTATAGGCATGGAAAACAAAGGAGACACTTGAGACAGGTGCGTCCAAGAGGAGCATGAACACGGGAATAAAAGACTGAGCTCCTCAGAACTCACCCACGCCCTTCACTCATTTCCCCTAAGAAGTTTGGCTTTTTCTGCAACCATCTAGTTCCAACCAGGGAAAGGGCCTGGTGACAGCATATGTTGTCATAAAAGGTCCACAGGAGACAACTCTTCCCAGGACCCCTGCAGCTACAGTCTGCCCACACATCTACCTCAAAGGCTTCACACCACAGATCCCTCACTGCTGGTGATGTGCAGCAATCTCCACCAGGGTCACTTGTTGAGCCAGAGAAAATAAATCAGATGTGGGGGCCTCTCTGGTGGCGCAAGGGGTTAAGATGAAACCTATGAAGCTGGCCACAGCCACTGCAGCACAAGTTCAATCCCCGGCCAGGGAGCTACCCACATGGCGCAGAAGACCTCTCCTGACTCGCCCACTGCTCCCCTCAGCAGTATACTTCAGTCAATCTGCCTGTTCCGTTCCCCACTCTGTCTCTGGGGGATCTTCTCATCCTCCACACCTCTGACCTGTACCCCAGTTCTTGTATGCATAAATAAATAAATCTTTTTTTAAAAAAAAATCAGATGTGGAAAAAAACCCTTAGCAGCTCCTCTTCCGGGTACCCTCACCCCATGTCATGACCTTAAATGACCCCAGAATCAGCTTGGAACCCAAAATGGAAGAGTCAATGTGTCAGCAGTCAAGAAGGAAACAATAACAATTGCTGTAATGTAGTGCAACTTACTGTGTCAGGCACTGAGCTGTGCTACACATGGGTTATCTCATCCTCCCAACTACTCTCTGCAGAAAGCACTGTTATTATCCTCCCTTTAGAGAAGAGGAAAACTGGGCCTGGGGACAAGTTAAAGAACTTGCCTATGGTCACACCAGAGCCCAGTCAGGATTCTAGCTCCGGAGGCTGTGTTCTGACACCTAGCAGGCAGAGGGAGACCAATGCCAGGCCAGGAAGTTCTAGAATCCCTCCCCAGTTCATTCACAAATGCCCCTGGGCCCTGGAAGCAGTTCTTACCCTCATTCAAAGTGAGGAACAAGATGTTGAGGCCCAGGCAGGTCAGCAGGGAACACAAAGGCATCTGCCACCTGAAACACAGATAGTCCGGGTCACTGAGGACAGCGGCTGGAGCCGGGAGGGCCGGGGCCGGCACAGGTGGGTCATCAAAACCAGGAGCGAGAGGAGGGGGCCTGGCAGGTCAAGAGGACATGAAAAGTGGGTCTCTAACTCAGACAGGTGACTGGGAAAAGAGTTACTGTCACATATTAGGCCCTGGGGTGAGAGAAGGTATCTCCTCAGAACTAAAAGACCTGTAGAACGGTCTCTAGAGGAAAGGAGGTGGAATTCATAATGCATATGAAATAAATATATGCCCACCACAAAAGGGCAAAACAGTTAATTCTGTTTTGTTAAGTTTCTGTTTTCTTTAAGAGGTGACAATCACATTCTTCTTTAAAATTTTCCTTTATTCTAATTTATAATTTCACAAGGACATATATTCATAGTGAAGACTGATCGAAGACAATAATTGAGAAGACAAAATGTAAAGGATTTCTTTCATCCCATTTATGACTTTGTCTTATTTAATTTTCAGAGTTTGAGAGCTTTTTAAAATATGTATTTATTCAAAACAGGGAAAAATAATAGTGTATTTTCATATATTACAAAAATGAAGACAAGCCAGGGTGTAGCATTCTCTCAGCAAGCACACCCTGAGTGAACTGGAACAGATGGAAACACACAGACCCAGGCTCCACCACCACCAAACAGCAAAGCAGAAGCCCTCAAAGAAGGAAGAATTGGATTGCTGAAGACAAGAAACACAACTGGCTTAGTCACTGATAAAGGACACTTCAGAGGGAAAAAGGGAGGCAGAATAATAATGAACTCACTGAGGAGCCATCTGAGGAGCAAGAAACAGAAGAATAAACAGGTAAGTTGCTCGCAAGCAATGTATTCAGAACTTAGGTATATTTTCTTTTGCTCCAATTGGGCTATTTCACAGTAAATAAATGAGGATAACAAATGAATGTACTTTTATTTTTTAATAAAAGTTATGAGTAAGGGAATGAAGTGACCTCTCTGTCTTTGAGATAGATAGGACTAGAGGTCTTAAAATTCAACACAGTCCACCTGTACCACCCTAAGGACCATCTAGCAACAGCTATAGGGTAAAAGTAAATTAAAAGTCAGGTCTAAAGTCAACCCCTTTTCAAAAATTAAAACATCACACAGTCACTGAAGTTGCTTCTATTTCGAAGCCTCTTCTATTCTGATGTCTTTCCTGACATTTTCATTGTAGGAGATCCACCTGCTGGAGGACTTGACCCCGAAAGAGTAGAGTCTTAAAAATCTACTGCAGCTCTAGGCTTCAAATCTTACAGCTGAAGGGGCCTCCCCGCTGGCGCAGCGGTTGAGCGCTGGGTTGCGAAGCTGCCCGCGGCCTCTGCGGCGCTGGTTCCATCCCCGGCTGCTCCCCGGCCACAGGAGGAGGGTCCCACATGGCGCGCAGACCTCTCCTGCCGCCCGCTGCTCCCCTCAGCAGTGTACTTCGGTCCTTCTGCCTGCTCTGCTCCCCGCTCTGGCTCTGGTGAATTCTCTCGCCCTCCCGCGCTTCTGACTGTACCCAGTGCTTGTATAAATAAATAAATAAATAAAAATTAATCTTAAAAAATATATATATAAAAAAAAAAACATTTAAAAAAAAAAAAAAATCTTACAGCTGAAGCACAAGATTAGGATCCTTCTTCAAAGTCAAATCCTCTTTACTAAGAAAAGAACAATCAAAAGCACAAACTAATCTGACAGCCACTTTCACAGACCAATGCTCCTTGTCCCAGTAGCATGGAGACCACAAGCTCCTGATGGCTTTTAGGGCCCAATGTTCCTCCTCCCTCCAGCTTTAATCAATTCCACCACATCCCCGGATTTCTAATTTCATAAAATGGAAAAACCCTAACACATTAGTGCCAAGAAGACTAATAGAACAGTGGCAGAAAAGAAGGGCAGGATATATTTAACTTTTGTGCTCCACCACAAAAGGGCAAAACACACACACACACCTGCATTGCTCATCTCAACAGATAAGGTCATATATTAAAGGAGTTCCAAAGTGAATAAGAAAAATTTAGGGCCTTGGTCAAACAGTTAAAAACAAACACCCCCTTCCACTACTTCCACTACTGAGAATGAATATTCAGTATTCATTAACCCTGTTGCCTCTCTGGCATCTTAGAGGGCTGAAGGTCTTTATGCAAATCTAATGGAAACTAGAAGTTTCTCCCCCAAAATGCACACATGTGTGAGCACGCCATTTTACATACAGTTTCAAGGAGACTCACAGACCCTGATAGGTACACTCACAGGCTCAGGGCTGAAATGCTGCATTAGCATTAGGACTCCTAACACTACACGGTATTAGGAGCATGTAGCCTTTGCCGAAGGGGAGAAAAAAGCTTTAACTTGAACCTAAAGGGCCTTCCTGGTGATGCAAGGGGTTAAGACACAACCTATGAAGCTATCCACAGCCACTGCAGTACGAGTTTGATCCCCGGCCAGGGAGCTACCCACATAGCACGGCAGACCTCTCCTGTCTCACCCGCTGCTCCCCTCAGCAGTGTATTTCAGTCAATCCGCCTGTTCTGTTCCCCACTCTGTTTCTGGTGGATCCTCTCACCCCCTCCCCGCACCTCTGGCCTATACCCCAGTTCTTGTATGCATAAATAATCCTTAAAAAATAAAAACTTGAATCTAAAAAAGATTAATTTAAATCTAATCCAACCTATAAATCTAACTCCCACTTTGCACCATGAGGAAACAACCCGACAAATCTAAATGAGAAATTCTCCAGGACAGTCATCTGAGTCTATTCAGTAAGACAGGAAATCAAAGAGGAGGCCGTTTTGATTACAAAAGACTTAAGGGCACCATAGCCACATGCAGCTGTGCAGCCCTTGACTGGAACTGGTCAAAACAAACATTCTTCAGACTACTGACGAAATCTAAATGTGAACTGGGTATAAAATGATATCGAGGAATCATTGTTAGTTTTGTGACATATGATGTTACTTTCTTTTTTTAAAAGTCACTATTTAGAAACAAATTGAAGTATTTAGAGAGTGAAATGGCATATATCTGAAAACACTTTAACATAAGCGAGCTGAAAGGAGAAAATATCACAGAGGAAGAAAATCAAAATGGTAAAAACAAAAAAATGTGATCTCCATAATCATAAATTAGGGGAAATGGTAATTACTTGTTCATAGGTATTTATATTTCCTTAACTTACGTTCAAAACTATACCTGAATTTTTAATATTAATATGCCAGTATTGGAAGAAAAAAAAATCCTGCGCTACGAAATAGAAGGCCCAATATTGGGGGCTAGCTAGCAATCCTAAGGTATTAGCCACAGAGAAACCCCAGTAAATGCCAGAGAGCTCCCGTGCCTGCCACTCCTTGGCTGGGCCTGAGACACAGGGTGGGGCCACTGAACATCACAGAACCACTCTTCACGAGGGCAAAAGGACAGCCAGCCAATGCCTAAATGAGCAGCACAGCTATGGAGCAGGAAGGCAGAAGGCCCAGCAGGTTAGAGCAACCCTATAAAATCTGTACCTGAGCAAGTACCGGACACCATCACCTGCGTCCTTCAGGGGTTCCAAGTAGATCTCCAGCCTCTTGTAGGACAGAACCAAGTTGAAAAGATCAAATGCCGCTGGAGACTTGGTGGGGACAGGCAGAGAGTCTGGCGGAGCCTCAGGCACCACACTGGGGTTCACCTCTGGTGCACTCCCCTCACGCTCTGATGTCTGCATCCTGTAACCATAATTGCTGACATTTGTATTGGATTTTCAATCCCCAACACACTTCTGCTTGCATTATTTCAAGTGATGGCTCTAACAAACCTAGGAGGTGGTAGGATTATAGGTGGACTGCCTATTTCACACCGGAGGAAAATGATGTCCATAAGGTGAAGTAAATTGACCAGATATAAAATGCTGCTCTTCTGATCCTCCATCTAATAGTCCTTTCCCCACAGACCCATCAACAGTATAACCATAAAGACCAAGCATATGTGGCTGCTGAGGAAAGGCAGCATGGGGTCTCAGGGAAAATGATGTCCTGGAATGTTTTTCTCCCACTCTTTACCTTCAGGTATCAGCTTAAATATCACTCCCTTGTTCTGAGAGGGCTTAGCCAACACCCCCCGCCCCCCTCCCTACAGACTAGGAGCCCCTCCTCAATGCTCCCAAAGGAAGACGGATTCACCCATCCTAACAACATTTATTGCACCAAAGTAAAACTCCCTATTTCCTGGCTGGTCTGACCCTCTCCCTTTGAGCAGCCCAAGATCAAAGACTGCCCCATCCACCTGTGTACAGCTTCCTTCACCGTAGAGTTTTTGTGTACGATGGGCAGGCCCGCTAATAAATACTTGCAGCGGGAGACCTGCCCTCCTCGGGACCCCGGTGCTTTGCCCCACCTGTTCCCAACCTCTTCCTGGACCATCACTGCCCTTTACATCCTTTCCCGTCCTTACACCCAAAGGGCAGTCACCACCTTCCAAAACTGTTCCTTTCCCAACTCCCCTCCATGGAGCGGGGAGTCACGGGAACGCTCGCCCGCTTTCCCAAGCAAACGCTAAGCAGAAAGTGGGGGACGGAGCCCGGCACACAGCCACACAAGCCGGACGCAGGCACCGGCTGCGCGCAAGGCAGGGAGCGGCGGGGGCGTGTGACAAAGGGCCACGGGGGCCCCAAGCCCGGCGGGCGCGGCGAGGGCAGAAGGCACCAGGGCGGGCGCACCTAGGAGCCCAGGAAGGGGTGCGGGAGGCCAGCGCCCGCAGCGGCCCGCATCACCACCTCCGCAGTCCAGGAAGCCCGACGCGGGCCCGCGGCCGACCCGGGAAGGGCACGCCCAGGACCGCGGGTCAGCAGGTGGCGGCCCGCGCGGCGTCCAGGCGCCCGCTCCGCTCCGGCGGGGGCTCGGGGGTGGGGAGGGGGCGGCACCTCACCTACCCGGTCGCTGGGCTGGGGGGGCCGGCCAGGGGGCACGGGTGGGGCTACTGGGCCCCGGAGCGTTTTCTCAGGCCCGTCCCACCCCGACTACGCGCCCTTTTCCCGGGCGGCCGCGAAGACCCAGGTCCGGGCACCTCCTACGCCTCCCGGCCGCCGCTTCCGGGACGCGAGTTGCTCTGCGGCGACGTGCCCTTGACGTCATCGCGCCCGCCCCGCCCCCGGCCCCACGCCAGGGTTTAGCTCCGCCCCCTCCAGCACAGGTGAGCGCCCGGGTCTGCACAGCGCCTGCGCCTTTCTCGCCTCTGCCCGCCTGAAACTCTGCTCTGTGCCCCGCACGAGAGCTGCCGACCCCTGGGAGCGAGCCCTCGGGGCCCTTGCACCGAGCTGCCCCCGCCTCGCCCTGAAAGGAAAGCTGAAGAGTTCACGTGGCAACCCCAATGTTGGCTCTTACATACCCGCCTCGTGAGCCCACGAGAGACAGAGCGTATCCTGCATGCCAGGTGCCCAGCAGAGAACGCAGTTTCAGTGTTTCCTGAGTACCTGCTGTGTGCCAAGTCCTGTGCCAGCCTCCCCCACTCAGTTCACTTCTCACCGTCTTGCATGCTCCGAGGACTCACAGGCGCCCAGCACTGGATTAGCTCTCTCTGGGAAATATCTTGTTAGCCGCTCGCTGTATGATGTTCTCCAACAACCCTATTAGGGTTAGGGTTATGTTATAGATGAGGAATTTGAGACACGTTGAGGCACTTCATCAAATCACTGGGCCAATAGACAGCTGGGAGTTGGAATGTGAACCTCATGTCATCTGACCCCCAGGCCCCAACCATACCACCTGAATCTGCATTTACTGGCCTCCTCCAGGCTCCCCCATTACTCCCCTTCGGCAGACCCTTCACCCAGCTGAACCTCTCCATTGTTACCTTCAAATGACCCTTGCATTCTGATCTCCTTACATTGCTTGTGCTGTGAGCTGGAGGAGGCATGTCCTTCCCCAACTTTTGCTTCAGTCCAAAACCAACCCATTCCTCTAAGCAGGAGTCAGATGTCTGTATCCATTCCGGGACTGCCCCAGCTGGAAGTAATCACTTTTCCCTCCAAACAGCCTGAGTGTGGACAGATCCAAATCACACACTCACACACTCCACTAAGTTATATTTCAGAAATCCCCCCTAACTTATTAGAGGACTAGGCCTGGCTTTGTGGCTGGACCAAGTTTGTCTGCTGGCCTGTCTCTCCTCCTTTGTGGTAAATCTAGGAGAAATGGAAACTTCCCAAAATTCCACCATCAGTAATTTCCTCCAAAGGTAAATTTCAGAGGTGTTTTGTTTGTTTGTTTGTTTGTTTGTTTTGCAATCCCTCCTCCTTGAGTCTGCATGGACCACTGGCTCAGGCTACCTGTGACTAGTAGTTGCACTGGCTCTCTCTTCTAACAGCTAAAGAATTGAGGGGCATTTTTTAGCAGCCTGGGGGGGGAGACAAGGGATGTTGGAGGATACCAGAAGGTTCTAAAGACCAGAAAAGGACAACAGTCATGGCCAACAAGTGTGAACTAAGACCTTTCCTGGCAATTAGAAAATGGGCAGCTGGGTCTTCTTCCTGGCCTCTGACTGATTTTCTATAATCATGTTCTCCTACTTCCTTTCCCAGCATTCTGAGTCTTCACTTTTGCCTCAAATTTTGGTGGCACTGATGTTTTCCCCTGGATAGCAGCTGGGTGGAAGAGACTAAGGGAGAACCTACGATAGTAAAAGAGGATAATTAATACCTTAACTTGACATTTTTCAAAGGTTAGTCTTTGCATCTATAAGGGAGGATGTGTATGGCTCACGTAATTTACTCATGAACCTCACTTGGAGAAATACTAAGGGAAACTCTAGCTAGTTAAAACAAGCTGGGAAAACAGGTGACCTCGGGCAAGAAGGAAATGTCTAGGCACGCCTTTCTCCACCAGATGGCGTCCTCGCCCACTCTCACGCAGACCTTGGCGTTTTCAGAACTCCTCTAAACTTTGAATTTCTGGTTGTGGTCTCTGATGTCACCATTTCCACAGTACACCAGATCTTTTCATATTTGCAACTGTTTTAGTTTTCATGCTCGTAGCTCTACTAGTTATCTCTTGCTGTATAACAAATTACTTACCCAAACCTATTGACTTAAATCTGTAATAAATATATATTCTTTCACATTGCTTTTTGGCTTGTGGGTGATTTTGGTCAGGAAATCCCTAGTGGCTTACTGGGATGTTTTGGCCCAGGGGGGTTGTGAGCTTGTCATCAGATGTTGGGCACTGCTGAAGTCATCTGAAAACCTGATAGTGTTACAGGGCAGCCCTGATACAAAATGGGGTGCCTGGCTGTGGGTCCTCACCTGCGCGCTTAGAAGGACTTATCAATACTCTACTGCAGGCACACCCGAAAGGTTAATAAAAGGTTTATTTACAAGGAAAGGGCAAATGAGGAAATGTACAACTCAGGGAGAAAAGCGGGAGACAAAGTTTTAAAAGCATCCTACCGGATCCTCCGATCTGGAATCCCAAATGGCTCTCTGAGAGCTGGCCGCGAGCCAAGAGCCATAAAGCCAGGAGGCGAGTGAGAGAGAGCGCGAGCAACCCCAAGGCCCACGTGTTTGGTTTTTATACCAAACCTGGCTGCTTAACTCCACCCTCAGGGCCCAGCCACCTTCCCTTTGGTGGTGACGGGATTGTCTTTCCCAATGTCTTGATGGGTTTGGTCTGGAGTGGGGGTGGAGTCCACAAAGCCTGCATGGAATTAGCTCAGGACATCCTTTCCCCCTAACAACTGGACCGACTCCCACAGGATCGCTCTCAAATATGAACAAGCTGATACTGGCATCCTCATGTTGATAGGCTGGCAGGAGTTTTTAGTTCTTCTCTACTGGGGACTCTCCAGAAGGCATCATGAGTGTCCTCATGACATGGTGGTTGATTTCCTTGAAAGGCATGTGCAGGTCTTATATTATATATTCTCAGAAGCCACACACAGTCATCTTCACAATATGCTACTGGTTTTATAGATAAGAGCCAGTCGATGCTGCGGTGTATGGTGGGAGGCTTACACAAGAGCATGACTACCAGGAGGTGAGGATAACTGGAGGCCATCTTGGAGACCAGCTACCATGTGTTAGCTTGGAATTTCTGTCCGTTTCACCTGATCTCCTCCCTGTTTTCCAGCTTAAATATCAGGTCCTTTGCGAAGTCTTCCCCCAATGATGCCTTACCTCCTATTCTGTGTTTACAATGGATTCTGGTCCCTCTCTTTTAAGCACCTATCACTGTGCACTTCAATTTATCTCTTGAACATGACTAAACCCTGAGTTCCTGAGAGTAAAGAGATTGAAACAACAGCTTGACAGCCCCGGGTTCTGCCAAGTAGAATTCCCTGGCGAAATAAGTACATGGATGCTTGTTTTGAAATAAATGAATACAACAGAAAATAAATGTTGGTGAGGATGTGGAGAAACTGGAACCATTGTGTGCTACTAGGGGGAATGTAAATGTATAGCCAAGGTGAAAAACTGTAAGATGGTTCCTTAAAAAAATTGAATATAGTGGCCTATAGTGGCCTCCCTGGTGGCACAGGGCTTAAAGACAGCACTATCAAGCTATCGCCAGCCACTGCAGAAGTTCGATCCCAGGCCAGCCAGGGAGATACCCGCATGGAGTAGCAGAACTCTCCGGTCTCACCCACTGCTCCCCTCAGTAGTGTATTTCAGTAGATCTGCCAGTTCTGCTCCCCGCGCTCTCTGGTGAATCCTCTCACCCCCACGCCCCGCACCTCTGGCCTAGATACCAGTTCTTGTATGTATAGATAAATAAATCTTTTTTTAAAATTGAATATAGAACTACCAGAGGATCCAGCAATGCCCCTCTGGGTTTATACCCAGAAAAATGGAAAACAGGGTCTTATGTGTGCACACATGCTCATAGCAACATTATTCACAACAGCCACAAGGTAGAAACAACCCAAGTGTCCATTAGCAGATGAATAGACAATAAAATACGGTACATACACACAATGTACTATCAGTCAGCCTTAAAAGGTATACAGCAGTTCTGACACATGCTACAATAAGAATGAACCTTGAGGAGGACATGAATGCTAAGTGGAAGAAGTCAGTCACAAAAAAGACAAATGTTAAATGTTTCCATTTATCTGAGGTACCTATAGACGTCAAATTCACAGAGACAGAAAGTAGAATAGAGGTTGCCAGGGACTGGAGGGGGGGGACAGGGGAGTTATTGTTTAATGGGGTTTTGGTTGTGCAAGATGAGAAGTGCTCTGGAGATGGTTGCACAACAGGCGAATTACCACTAAACTATACATTTAAAAATGGCTGAGATGGGGGCCTCCCTGGTGGCTCAAGGGGTTAAGCACAGCTCTGTGAAGTAATCTGCAGCCTCTGCAGCACCAGCCAGGGAGCAACCCACATGGTGCAGCAGACCTCTTCTGTCTCACCCACTGCTCCCCTCAGCAGTGTAGTCAGTCTGCCTGTTCTGTTCCCCGCTCTGTCTCTGGTGAATCCTCTCACCTTCCGCACCTCTGGCCTACACCCCAGCTCTTGTATGCATAAATAAATAAATCTTTTTTTTTAGTGGCTAAAATGGTAAATTTTATGTTATGTGTAAATTTTGTTATGTATATGTTTGTTTTGATTTTTTTAATTTAACAAAAGTTTGGAAATAAGCAAAGTGTAATATATACATTCAACTGAATATTATTCACCACAAAAAGGAATGAAGTATAGATACATGGATGAACTTTGAAAGCATTATGCTAAGTGAGGAGACAGCCACACAAGGCCACATAGGGGATGATTCCAATTGTATGAAGTGTCCAGAATAGACAAATCCATAGAGACAGGAAGTAGCTACGGGATTGCCTTGAGCTGGGGTAAGAGAGGAACAGATAACAGATAGAGGGTTCTTTTTGGGGTGATAGAAATGTGTTGGAATTGGATCATGGTGATAAATAATTGCCCAGCATTATGAACAGACTAAAATCACTGAATTGTACACATTTCACTGGCAATTTTCATTTTCTTATGTAAAATGTTATGTTACATGAATGATGTGTCATTAAAAAATGAATGAATAAAGAAACATTTGATTGGCACGTATTTTTACATCCTCTTTAATGTTTGTATTTCTCTAGTGTTCAGGCTTCACATTTGAGTATGTTTTTGGATTAATAGCTCAGTGCCATGGCTCTGAAAAGTGTTCCGTAAATACATCTTAATGTTCTTGTACCTGGGAAAGAAGTACTCATGAGTAATGAGTGTTCCAGCTGTGAGACAGTGAGTTGTGGGACAAACACAGCAAGGAAATGAATGTCTGCTGTTACATTCTTACTCAACAGCACTTGGCAGCCATGAAAACAACCATTCATCAAACACAGGCGCAAAAAAAGTCTCACAGAGCAAAGCAATGAAAACCTCAGCTATAAAACCTTGTGACCGCCCATGAAAGAGGCAGTTAACTGTGTACTGCTCCACCTTCCATGCATAGAGCTGTTGCTGGGCAGTAGGTCCCAGCCAGGGACTACATTTCCCAGCCCCCTTTCACACAGACTGGGCCATCTGACTCCCCATAGGAAGTGAGCAGAAGTGATGAATGTCGTTTCTAGACCATATTATTTAAAAGTCAGTCATCTAGGGCTTCCCTGGTGGCACAGGGCTTAAAGTCTCAGCACTATTAAGCAGTTGCCAGCCACTGTGGCACTAATTCAATCCCTAGTGAGGGAGCTAACCCACATGGTGCAGCAGACCTCTCCTGTCTCCCCTACTGCTCTCCTCAGCAGTGTATTTCAGTCATTCTGCCTGTTCTGTTCCCCACTCTGTCTCTGGTGGAACCTCTCACCCCCTGCACCTCTGGCCTACACCCCCATTCTCGTATGCATTAATAAATAAAATAAATCTTTAAAAATAAATAAATAAATAAATAAATGTCATCTTTTCCACCCTCCCTTCTCCCAAATGCCAGCTCAACATAGAAGGCGCGGCCCAGCTACTAGCGGAAGTGGTCTGAGTCTTTGGGTAGCAATTCTCCCACTGACCTGGCTTATCCACAATGGACAGTTTTGTGAAGAAGAAATAAATCTGTATGTGAATATAAATAGATTTTTATCATAGTACATGACTCAAATGTTGGAGTTGTATTTGTTGCTGCATCTACACATCGATATTTGTTCATTCCACCAAACGATTATTTATTATGTCTTTCATGGGAATTTAGAGGTGAATAGCCTGAAATTCTTTCCTCAAAAAGTTCTAATACTAACTGGAGAATTCGATGGGAGAATTTTTTTTAAAGATTTATTTACTTATGCATACAAGAACTGAGGTGTAAGCCAGGGATATGGGAGTGGGGCGGCGGGTCAGAGGATTCACCAGAGACAGAGTGGGGAGCAGAACAGGCAGATCTACTGAAATACACTGCTGAGGGGAGCGGCAAGTGAGACAGGAGAGGTCTGCTGTACTATGTGGGATAGCTCCCTGACCACCTGGGGATCAAACTCCTGCTATAGTGGCTGGCAGTAGCTTGATAGCACGGCCTTTAATCCCTGTGCCACCCAGGAGGCCTTTGATGGGAGAATTAATGAGAGAGAACTCAAAGATGCTACCAAAGTAAGGACTGTAGGTAACCTACAAAAAAACCTGACTAGAACGGTTACCATTAAAGCAACTGAAAGAATTAACAAAAACAAATTCTTAAAAATTAGGACACCCAGATTACTTTGTAGACAAATTCTCTGAAACCCATCAATAAAATGATATAGTAAAACTATTCCAGAAAATAGTACAAGATGGGGCCTCCCTGGTGGCGCAGGGGTTAAGACACAACCTATGAAGCAATCCTCAGCTTCTGCGGCATGAGTTCGATTCCCAGCTCGCCAGGGAGAAACCCACATGGAGGAACAGACCTCTCCTGTCTCACCCGCTGCTCCCCTCAGCAGTGTACTTCAGTCCATCGGCCTGTTCTGTTCCCCACTCTATCTCTATCCTCTCACCCCCCACATCTCTGGCCTGTACCCCAAATCTTGTATAAAAATAAATAAATCTTTTAAAAAAATAGTACAAGATGGAAAACTTCCCAATTTATTCTGAATCTCAAGTTACCACCAGTCCTAATAAAAATGCCAGGGGAAAGCACCCACACAAAAAAACAAATTTCATCTAGAGTAGAACCAATCTAAATATATTTATATTATACAATACACTTATTTATTGTAAAATATATTTATTTATAATCTTATTATTATTTATAGACAGAGAGAGGGAGCAAGGGGTAATATTGGTTTACAACACAGTAATATGTTTTAGGTATACAGGTTCACATTCCTCCAAGTGGAATAAAATATGAATTTAATCAGTGATAAAAATGAACTATTATTGCCACAATATCATTAATAAATCTCAAAATAATTGAATAAATGAAACTAGACATAGGCTCACTGCCCCCCGGGGGTAGGGAGGGAAAAAAGCACACACTATATATTCCATTTATATAAAGTAATCCATAGTCACAGAAAGCAGGTCAGTGATT